ACCTTTTCCCCTTTTTTTTTATAATATAGAGAAGTAAAGGAGGACTCAAGAGTTTTGCACAATACTGTAAATTGTAAATCATTTAAGGTGAGTGGACTGAGATCTGAAGTTTAATAATCAAATTAAGGCAGTGGTAAAATCTAGCTTCTTTCAGCTCAGGCAGCTGGCAAAAATAAAGCCAATTCTTTCACGACAGCACTTTGAGACAGTGATCCACGCCTTTGTTAGCACTCAGCTGGATTACTGTAATGCACTTATATTGGGGTCAGCGCATCATATATTACTCATCTACAGAGGGTGCAAAATGCTGCAGCTCATCTTTTAACTGGCACTCGAAAGTTTGAGCACATTTCCCCTATTTTAGCTTCACATCACTGGCTGCCCATTTCTATTAGGATTTATTTTAAAATTCTTTTATTTGCTTTTAAAGCTCTCCATGGCCAAGCCCCATCTTATCTCTCTGAGCTGCCACAGCCTTATACACCCACCCGTTCTCTCAGGTCAGCTGATCAGCTGCTCCTGAATGTACCAGGACTGGGCGTAAACTTAGAGGAGATCGTGCTTTTGCTGTAGCAGCTCCAAAACTGTGGAACGAGCTTCCTTTAGAGATTAGACAGGCCAGTTCTTTAGCTGTTTTTAAGTCACTCTTGAAAACCCACCTCTTTACCCTGGCCTTTGACACCACGTGAGATGTTGGTTTTTATTTTTATTTTATTTTTTATTTTAGTCGTTTTTAGTTGATTCGATGCTGTTTTATCTTGTTTTTGTTTTAATATAGGGCTGTTTTAATTTTATGCATTATGTTTTTATTTATTTTTGCTGTTTTCTGTTATTCTATTGTTTTTAACTTATTTTCTGTACAGCACTTTGTTCCTGTGCTGGGTATTTGAAAGTGCCTTATAAATAAAATTGGATTAGATTGGTGAGGACTTGGTTTAGAGAGTTATCGTATGCTTTCAGGAAATGATTGCAAGTCAGTGTAAAGTCCTTTAAAGTGATGTAAACTATGACTTTGTGCTTGTTTGTCTCCATGTTTGTTTTGGACACATTTCAGGAAAAATGGTTGCTCCTCTTCACACCTTCATGTCACCACTAGAACAGGGCCCCAATCTGTTTTTGAGCTCCCAGCTCAGCAGCATCATCTTGTGTTCACCACAGGTTAAACAGCCTAAAAACAGATCACAAGTACAGTACTTTCTACTCCACAGTAGTTAAAGGCAAATATTATACAGAAAGTAAAATGATGAACGATTGACTCCAGCAATAATAGTTGCAGGTTTTTATATTTATATTTGTGCTTCCAATTTCCTCTTTAAATCTGCACACATTCCAGTGTTGTAATTATATTAAATCAGGCCTATAATAAACTATAGAGTTTGTTTTAGTCTTATATTAATACCTGAAACAAATTCTATAGATTTCTTATGGTCAGAGAGCACAACACGGAGAACACAGCTCTCACTTTGATTTGGCTTGTTGTCATTCTCACTTTTTTTTTGCTTAGCTTACTTAGCTTACAACACATTTAAATTTCAAAGACTTTTTCCTATAGAACTTATAGTAAATAGAAATTTGCAATATCACACAGGACTTCTACTTCCTCTTTTTTGCTTATTCCGTCTTTGGGACTGAAAAAAAATCAAAGTGCTAAATGTGACGTAACTCTCCCGTCTTTATCAGATTGTGTGTGTGTTTCACAGCCACCACATCCATTTCCACTCGTCTTCGGCATGCGCACAGACCCCCTCTGTTCCTGCACACAGCAGCTCTCAGGACTCAATTCATCAGCTCATACACAGACGTTTTTAGCTCTGCTCAGACACCTCCTGCACCTCATGGGTTCTTTCAGACTTCGTGTCGCATGGTAGCAGCTTCCCCAGCTGGACAGCAGTCGCGGTGCTCCAGCCGAAGGGTGGAAAGAAACAAGATCTCCTTTTAATAAATGAGCGTGAAAGCTCTCTGCTTTGTTTCAGCTCAGTAGAAGAAGAAACAGAGGGACACAGAAAAGAGGAGGGCCACCACTCGGATTTTATTCTCTTCTGCAATTAAAGCTGGAGGGAATTTTCCATCATATACAAACAGAAACACATGCCTGCTATATTTTCTCCTTTGTCTTGCTGTCATTTTGACACATTCAAAAAAAAAAAAAAAGACACTACAGGAAAGAAATCATCTGCTAATTGCACACAGGTGTAGGTCAAGGGTTTTGGTCTCAGTCTGTAGGGTGCTGTAACGCGAGGAGTTCGATCAAATGACTCCAGGAGCGTCCACACAGAGGTCAAAGATGGAAGTGTGGATGGGGCACTCCAACTGAAATAAAAACAAAAAAGCACTCAGGAACATATTGTACTAGCATTTTCAAACTTAAATGACAAGAAAAAGTCACATTTTCACATTAAAAATGTAAGTTTATAAGCGTGTTCATTGCTAAGATCACTCCCTCTTTGCCCTTTCTTTTCCTTCATTCGTCACTTACCTGTGGCTGCGGTATCGTCTCAGTTTTGGAACCAGTTGATGACGTAGGTGCAGATGCCTTGGAAGCTCTTCCAGCAGTAATCGGATGCAAGACGGGAAGCTGTGGATTCAGGCAGCTCCGTCGGGTGATCACTGGTTTTCTCAGGCTTAGGAGTAGTCTTCCTGCTCTGACGCCCCTTGCCTGGCTGCTTATTGGGCTTCACAGGTTTAGGAGAAGTAACAGGCTTGGTCTGAGCTGGCAGTGCTGGTTTACGTGGTTCCTGAGCGGGCTTGGAGGGCTTCAAGTTGGCTGTTTTGGGCCAGGAGGCCAGCAAGGTCATCTGAGTCTCATCTGGGTATTTCTTGCACATGTGCGGGCGGTAGATTTTAGTTCCCTGGCAGGCGTGGCTCAGTTTCCTCAACTCCCACATCATCTGTGTGAAGTAGTGGCGAGGGTTCTGGTTGTAGGCCCGGCACAGGATGGGTTTGCCCTGGAAGTCGCAGTAGTAAGAGTGTCCTGGGGTTTGGCCCTTGCAGGAGACACGAAGGCGGGTGTAGTTCTCTGGTGCAGACACCACCATGGTGCAGGAGTCTTTGGTCTTGGTGCTGAATCTGATGGGTTCATCCCAGATGCTGCGCTGCTGCTGCTTGTCATTGTCGCTGCTGTTGTCGGTTTGAGCATTTGAAACACAAACAGCTGCTGCTGAAACCAGCAGCAACAGTCTCAACCCAGCTCTCATGGTGTTCAGCGTGGACTGATGGACGGGCGAGGGCTCAGGGGTGATGTGTCCGCAAAGAAAGTTAAGGTGTGGAAGGACGGAAAGCATGCAACTGGGAATTTATAAAGCTGAAGCTCACAAAGAAGGCATTATTCAGTTAAGCTGAAAAGTTTTAACCCCTCCCTTATGCTACAGACACACACAGAGCAACCACAAGGTTCGTGTGGTATGCTAAAAAAACACCAAGGAGTAACGTATGGAAGGAAAGGGTGAACATAAACTTAGAGATGAAGACAGGAAAAGGAGGGGGGTTGGCTTGTGGGAGCCGAGGGAGAATTAAGAGGTCTGAAGAACACGCATGAGGCCAAATAGCTGCAAGTCATTATGCAGTGTCACATAAGAGGTTCATTGACCATTGATCAGGAGGGGAGAGCAGTGAGGCTCCAGAGCCACACTGCAGGCTCAGGTTACTTGGTGGAGATTTAAGAGTTGATATGTGACTCAGTAAAACAACAAATCTTTAGATGTTTGATGACTTTTGTTGCAGAATTAATTGAAATGGACTTCTAGGACGTCTCTCAAAGTTTCCAAAGATGGTAAATTATGTTTTACTTGCAGTACATATCTTACACTACAGGAGTGTTTTTGGTTGCACCTGGAGAAAATGTTTTATCCTGATAGTTTGAGAGGGTCTGACTGCAAATCTCACATCCGGGGACACCTCTAGAGTCTGCGGGCGGAGGTAGAGCAGGTCATCTGCTAAGTGGAAGGTCAGCGGTTTGATCCCTGTGGCTCTTCCAGTTAGAGCCGGGAATCTATCTAAAGATAGTGAACTCAAGAAACAGCAGTCCATTTATCATTTACCACATGCACACAGCGACTCTGTTGGCAGCTCTTGCATACATGAGCTGTTAATGTTGTGAGCTGTTTGGATTGAGCGGGCATGGCGTAGGTTTACTGCCTGGTAGTTTAAATTTAAATATCCCCCTTCCCCCCTACTGCATAAGCACTCCCATTCCTTGGGCACCACCAGTCTGGAGAGCCTGAGTTCAAAGTCAGACTAGACTGAAAATTTCCGCATTAGCTAGCGGGTTTGTTTGCTGAGTGAAAGAGTGTGTAAGTGCACGCACAGCCTCAGTGCATTCTGGGAGTTTTTATTTTTATGGCGGTTAGCCTAATGAAAAGCTCAGCTGGAAGAAACGCTGAGGATGTGTGTGTGTGGGCTGTCTGCACCATGTTTTCCTGTATTTAGTTCTCTTCTCATACGGTGCAACAGCATCACACCACCTCTAACCAGAGATGGGCAGTAACGCGTTACTTCTGATTACTTTTTTCAGGTAACGAGCAAAGTAAGGGATTACTATTACAAAAACAGTAATTAGATTACCGTTACTTTCCCGTAGGAACGCTGCGTTACTGCGTTACTAAAACAGTGATTTTTTGCGAGAATGTCTCACGACAGTGACGTAAGCGAGTGCGCCGTTAGTGACAACAGCTGTGTGCAGATCAACAATGGATCACATATCGATTGTGGGAGAGAGTATGAGCGTGCAGCGTTCAAAGCGTGGAAGTACTGACCTTACTTTGAGTTTGATTCCATAAAAAGTGACAAAAACATTAGCGTCCATCGTGCGTGGGAAGAAAACTTCTTTTTACAGCGAAAAAATCCCCTAAACTTCCACATGAGCATCACGTGTGTTCCTGAGCACGTATCAAACTCCTTTTAAGTCATTTTTTTAAAGGTTTTGCACACAATAAAACATTTCCTTTATATTTAGAAACGTGTGATTTATGAACCATGTTTATGCAATAAAAAACAGACGACACTGGATTTGAGTTTTTATTTAGAGATTTGCATCCTCACCACAAGCCCAGTTGTGTTTTTCAGACCTTTAATATTGCAGAGGCTTCTGGGAATTTTATTTGACAACACAAGCAACAGGCCCTCATTAACAGTCTGGTGAAACATGATATTTTGTGTGTCATCGCTCCTTAAATCCTGTTAAAACAGCGCTTACCAAACTTTTGAAGCTGATCAAACAAGTTGACAGCCTACATACAGTTTTTATGAACAAACAACAACATAAACAGGAACTTAATTAAATTTAGTTAAATAAAAGCTGATTCAATAGAATAAGCACATGTGTGTATTTAATAGCTTGTAACACTTTGTAGTACACTGCGCAGTCTTCATGTTTCAAGGATGTACTGAGCCGAGCAGAGCTGCCGCTTTGCTGCTTAAATGAATAATTCAATACCTTTGGTCTCTTTGGTCAAAAACACAGCTGCACAGCTGTTTGGTAGATTCCCATGAGAGATGTGATCTGTGTCAGTTCTGAAAGAAAGCGAGTAGCTACTTTTTTTTTTCAAATTGTCAAACCATTCCTTAAATAAACACCTGCTAAGTGCAACCTGTTTGATGCAAATTATGTAAGCTATATTACAAATATTCACAGAGAAAAAGAAAGCTATTACTACAAACCTACTTACATGTTATAAAACAAAGTTTAACAAAAAATATATAAAACTTTCAAAAGACTTGAAAGTGTAAAAACTGTACACTTGTGTTGCCTTGTTTAAAACTGATTATGTAAGTACAAATTGATTCTCTATGCAGCTAAATATGCAGCTGTTGGTGTACATAATAAAATGGTAAAGGGGTCGAGAAAACACTTCATAGGATTTTGCTGGCATTAGTGGTTTTGTCAAATGGCCTGAAGGACTACTGAAAGATGCCTTCATCCCAGAGTTCACGATTGTTCTTCCCTTTTGTCCTTGGAAGTGTTAAAAGATCTGAATCGGAAGCCTAAACAGCCCAGTGATCCTGGAAACGAAGAAAGCTTTTAGAAAAATAAAGTGCACTAAGAGTCAGGTATGAAATATGTGAAGAGATACAGATGAGCGCTTACCACAAAGGGAAGATCAGTTCCAGTTCTCCTGTCCACTGTGGAGGGAAAAGAAAAGGTAATGTTTTATGTTAATGACTGGAACATCAGTCAAATCATCAGGAAGAGCATCTGGAGCTGTTGCGACACCTTGTGACTGTTACTGTCATTGCTATTATTATAAGTTGCAGGGTGAGGGTGATGGTTTTTTTTAAAAACACATAGTAGATGATTATAAAAAGCAAATGATTTCCTGTGGTCCACACAATGGGAATCACTTCCACAAATCTTTGAAGATTGGAGGGTAAACATGTACACAGGTATACAGGAATTATATTCATATTTCTATAGCTGAAATATGTGAGAGTTACACACAGAATAATATTTATTAATTTATTTTCCTGTGAGGTTTTCACCTGCACACATTCAAAGCCAGGACTTGTGTTTTGGGGCCTTTACTGTTATTTCACAACTGGTGGGGAAAACACGAGTTTTCCAACATTTTTTTAGTGTTTGAAAATAGTTTTGGGTGCTCTGTTATTCAGAAGGAAACACAAATCAAGCATGCAGAGCTTTCGTTCGTGACTCCTTCCAGGATTAAACCAGGGACCTTTCAGGAATCTAAAAAATGATTTTCTTGTTTGTTTGTTTTTTCCAAATAATAGATTGATTCATTTTTGGTCTTAACACAAGAAAAATGTTTCAGAAAAATAGTGTAGCATTAGGTTTCTTCTGTTTTGTCCTGTTGAGGCTCATTTTCCTTTAACTGGAGAACACAACAGCGCTTCAAACACAAAAGCAAAAATTTTTCTCTCTTCCTTTGACTGAACACTGCATATATCCAGGGATGAAAACTGATCTAATTGAGGCACAATCTGGATGCCTGACACATGGCAGCATCATGTGGATATAAGCAGTTACCTCCATCACAGAAAACTTCATTTCAGTGGGCTCTGATGTTTGAATGCAGTGATGGATGAAGAAGATAAGAGGGAAGTCAGGAAAAAGAAGGATGTTTCTGTCAGAATGAAATCAGCGGAGTGATGGTGGGATGCTGGATGGTCTTACATGGCTGGTTGTTAGCGTAGCTGTAAGGGTTAGTGGAGTCATCAGTGATCGTCAATACCTCATCAGCAGGGAGAGAGTTCCAGTGGGTCACCAGACTGAGTAGCTCGGGGGGGCAGAGGCCCGAGGGAACCGAGTCAGAGTGTCAGAATAGGGAGAGCTGAATGCACACACACACACACACACACACACACACACACACACACACACACACACACACACACACACACACA